TCCTCCTCCAACTATCACCCCCACGGGCTCCACTACTACTGCACCGAACCCTGCATATGATGAATGGATTCGAAAAGACCAACTTGTTCCTAGTTGGATGATATCTTCTCTTTCACCTGATGTCCTACCCTATGTGGTTGGATTATGGTTGGATTAGCTACTGCTGTCGGTGCCTGGAAGGCTCTACAAACTGTTTTTGGATCTCTATCACATATAAGCATTCTTCAGCTTCATATGCAACTCCAAAATACATCTAAAGGTGACAAGTCTGTCTCAACTTATCTCCACGAGGTAAAGTACGTTTCGGATCAATTGGTTGCTGCCAATCGCCCTCTAGGGAATGAAGAATTAAATGCCATTGTCTTTTGTAATCTTGGTTCTGATTTTTTTGACGTTATTGCTGCCTTGGCTACAAAACCTGATCCGATAACCTTTCCTAAACTCCATTGATTGCTCCTCAATCATGAGCTTCGAATGAAATCTGCTACGGTACCTATAGAGGCAAATGTTACCACTTACACCCCTCCATCAACCACCCCTACTAATCAACCGCAATCGATTTTCAATTTCCTACTATCTACCACCCAAAACCCTCAATACCGTTGGCAAGGCAACCAGCGCAATTATGGAAACTCAGGCAATTGATCTAAAAATAGGAAAGATCGATGCCAAATTTGTCAGAAATATAACCATACAGTTGCAAGATGTTATTTCAGGTATTCACAGTCTAAGAACAGTACACCTCAACCTATTGCTAATATGGTTGGGATTCTTCCTACCCCATCGTAGCAAGACTGGTTTCCGGATACTGTAGCTACTCACCATGTGACGCCCGACATCGCAAATCTGCAGATCTCTGCACCACATAACAGTAACGAATCTCTTCGTGTAGGTAATAGAACAGGTTTAGACATTGTTAATGTTGGTTCTTTCACTCTCAAAACCCCTATTAACAAATCTTTCCATTTCTCAAATATCCTTCATGTCCCTACCATTACACGTAATTTGCTTTATGTACATAATTTTACACGTGATAACAATTGCTTCTTTGAGTTTCATCCATTTCACTTTGTTGTGAAGGATTTGCAGTCCAAAACACCACTACTCCAAGGTTCGCTTAAGGATGGACTATACCGGCTGCCGGGTCTTTATACCACATCTCTATTCGCCAACACAATTTCACTTGATACTTTCGCCGTTACCATTACCTGGCATGCTCGAATGGGCTATCCCTAACAAAGCAAAGTTCGCTCTTTGATTCGTTCAAACAATTTGCCATGTTCTACATTTGATTTCAACAAATGTACTTCCTGTTTGTTAGGCAAATCTCATAAAACACCCCTACCCCCCAATCATAGTATTAGTAAAGCACCTCTCGATTTAATTTTTACTGATATATGGGGACCTGCTTCAATTAATTCTATTTTCAGTTATAAGTATTTTGTTCTATTTGTTGATGATTTTTCCAAATATACCCGGTACTATTCTATTCAAAATCGATCTATGGTCCCTTCCATTTTCAAAAAATTCAAAATTATGGCTGAGAAACAATTTGAAAAATCCATCAAAGCCGTCCAGTTTGATTGAGGTGGGGAATACAGAAGAGTGAATAAATTTTTTTTCAGACAATGGAATTCTCCATCGTGTAGCATGTCCACACACTCATGAGTAGAACAGAGGAGCTGAGCGAAAAATTCGCCATACTGTTGATACTGGCCTTACATTATTGGCACATGCATCTCTTCCACTTAATTTTAGGCCTTATGCTTTTGAAACTACAATTTACCTTATTAACAGTTTATCTACACCACTCTTAAACAATATCTCACCTTTTCAAACACTTTTTCATTAAGAACCAAATTACAAGTTTTTAAAAATATTTGGTTGTGCTGTTTTCCCTTTATTAAGACCATACAATTCGCATAAGTTTTCACTCCGTTCTACTCAATGTGTGTTCTTAGGATATAGTCCATTGCATGTTAGTTATCGTTGTTTAGATTACAAAACTGGACGCATGTATATTGCAAGACATGCTCATTTTATTGAAAATATTTTTCCATTCGCCATACTTGGTTCCCACCTTTCTGAAATACCCTCACCATCACATCCTTGGTTGACGATCTCCATAGCTGGTATGTCCTCCCAGGCAAACCATGGTGTTAATAGTAATATTCTACCTTTTACCCCACCCTCTAACACTTCTCCACCCACCTTTGAAGAACCGTCATCGACATTATCAAATACTAATACCGCTTCAACATCTAACACGTTGGTTTCTAGTCCGTTTAATACTGGTACAGGTTCTAATGAGACACTTTTAGATGCCTCCCCACAACAAGTTGTTGTGATACCTTCACAATTGGTTTATCAAAAATCAAGAACCCATTCAATGCAGCTGTGTCAAAACTCAAGGCCCAGCACTCAATATCTATTGCCAGATGTGAACTTGACTGAAATAAGCTCTAAGGAAGAGCCATGATGTTTCACCGAAGCTAATAAAGATGAAAAATGGAGGGACGCGATGCTTCAAGAATTTAATGCTTTGTTGTGTAATGGAATACGGGTTTTGGTTCCACCGAATCCCAAAGCAAATGTCATGGGCTCCAAATGGGTTTATCGAGTCAAGACACGTGTAGATGGTTCGATAGATCGGTACAAAGCCCGCCTCGTGGCCAAGGGCTATAATTAGCAGGAGGGTATTGACTACACAGAAACTTTTTTTGTTAAAGCAATCATCGTCCGTACAGTTATTTCATTTGCTGTGACAAAGGATTGGAAACTCCGGCAGTTGGATGTTAGCAACGCATTTTTAAATGGTAACTTGACTGAAGAAGTCTTCATGGCTCAGGCCCAGGGCTTCGTTGATAAAGAAAGGCCAAACCATATATGCAAGTTACAAAAATCCTTATACGGATTGAAACAAGCACCGCGAGCTTGGTTCCATCGATTGAGCATCTTTGTAGAATCATTGGGATTTATTGGATAAAAAACCAATACTTCCCTCTTTATACTACATCGGCCCAATTTCTCCATTTACATGCTCATCTATGTTGACGACATTGTTATTACAGGATCCAACACGGCATTTATTCAATACACTATCAATTGCTTAAACAAGGAGTTCTCTATAAGGGACTTGGGTGAACTTAATTATTTCCTGGGAATTGAGGTGATCAAACATCCATCAGGGATTCTTCTGTCACAACAGAAGTACGTTACATATCTCCTCCACCGAACCCGAATGGGTGGTGTTAAACCAGTTCACACGCCCATGGCTACAAATACCAATATAATTAATCAGGGTAAGCCACTTGAAGATGCTACTTTGTACAAGTGTACAGTAAGAGCTCTTTAGTATATCACCCTAACTCGACCAGATATTTCTTATGCGGTAAACAAAGTCTGCCGGTTCTTGAAAGAACCAACAAAAGACCACTGGAGTGCAGTAAAGCGGATCCTACGCTACTTAAAGGAAACCGTTTCGCATGGATTGTTCATCAGTTCCCACTCCACCACAGAACTCCATGCATATAGTGATGCAGAATGGGCCGACTATCCCACTAAGTAGCGAATGATATAATTCGGAATGAGTTCAACGCAAAATAGATTTTTACATTTACGGTTCGCGATAGTTCGAGAAAAAAAACCGTTTGATAACGACCAAAATTTTTATTTCTAACGAAACCCGTTTGATAACAAAGACAAAATTTCTATTTCACGAAACAAAAACCCGTTTGATAAACAATAGAAAATTCTATTTCCAGGGAATAGAAATCCATTTTTTGGAAATGGAATAAAAATAATTAAAAAATCCGAAAAATTCATAAAAATCTCAAAAAAAATTCAGAAAATCCCAAAAAATTGAAAAATTCCAGAAAAAATCATCAAAATGTCGAGAAAATAAAAAAATTCAGATTTCGGGAAAATAAGAAATTTGTTTAATTTTTCAAAAAAATCAAGAAATCAAAAATTTCAAAATTTCACGAAATTCTTAGAATACCTATAGTCCCACTTTGAGTAAAATTTATATTTTTGAGGTGCCCAAAAAATAAAAAATAAAAAAAATTCAAAATTTCACAAAATGGTGAATACATGTAGTCACTTTTTGAGTAAATTTTAATTTTTTGAGATGCCAAAAATTTTAAAAATTAAAAATTTCAAAACTTCGGAATGAGCAGAATACAGTGGCTAACCATTTCAAGAGAAATTTAATTTTTTGAGATTCCCAAAAAAAAATAAAAAATCTAAGACAGCCCCTCGTCACTTGATGTTTGGTGAAGAAATTAATGTTCAAGAACTTTAATCACATCCGTACGTGGTGGTAATCACTGAAAAGAAAAGAAGGGGTCACTGGCTAATGATAACGTATCAAGGCATGCTTTAATTTACTCAGATGGCAATTGAGGGTGTTCAGTGTTTGCATTTCCCGCAAAGCAAAGGATATGTTGGTTACAAAGGTCTAAAGCTTGTCTTTGAAACAAAGCTATCAACTGTGATTCATCCATCTGTAGTTCTCACTCCCACACTTTTGCATTACGTCGAAGCTCGCCTTTTCTTTTCCGTTTTATTTTGTGGCAATTTGTGAAGAAGATTCCACAATCTATAAATAGGACTATGGCTTTTCTGCTACTATCCGAGTGGATCTCACTTCCGAGGAGTTTTTGGTCTTCACCAAGGTCAGAGACAAGTTACTTCCTGATTCAATTTTCTCTGTTCCTGATAATTGACTATGGAAGGAGCACTTTTTGCTCATTACATGTAGAATACGACAGAAGTTTCAGAAATATAATCCAGGAACATATCAAGGTAGACATGATCAAGCGAAAAGAAAATTTGCTATGAGTCAAATACTCGAGTCAGTTGCCTCAGTTTGCAATATACATGCTTTTGCATAAGATAGCAGCATGCACACAAGATTTAAGACCTCTATAGACTATACACAGTCTCTTAGCACAAGAGATCCCGACTTCCGCCAAATAAAGCTCAAACTGATGAACATTTTAATCATGCACGGTTATTGCAGAGCTCATCTTCTTATTCCTCTCAGTAAAACCGCCGTATGAAGACAATCTAGGGAGGCAACAAGTCACAGTTCTAACCGGTTTCTGCTCCTCCATCACATGGTCTCCATTAGGAGTCCTTTCGCCGCTACACATGAAAGTGGAAGGCGTTCCTTGATCAGAGATCAGAAGAACATCGAGTATAGTTGGCTTGGCTTCAGCCTTTTCTTCTGCCATAGCTTTGTGAGCCGAAGCATCATGATCGGCAACATCTTCTTGATCCGTGAGGCTATCTCGGAAAAGTTCAGCGAGTTTCTTTTTCTTACTTGTTGGGGAAGGCTTGGGAACAAGGACAGGTGCTTTGTCCCGAGGGGCATTCTTAACCAATTGTGTTCCCCTGAATAAGGATGGGTGGATAGGAGTGTTTCCACGGGAAGGAGTACTCCCACGAGAAGGAGTGAAATCTGCAGTAGAAACAAGAATGAGCACACAAATAATACAAAAAAGTATTATAGAATGATATAAGCCAGGAAAGAAAATGATGACACAATAAACAGCATATCTCGTGAGTAAAGCAAAATCTTGCTCCTTCTCTTGTTATTTTTCTTCCTTAGGATTGAATAAATATAAGAGTCAGGAAAATCTGCATAGCTAAATGACAGAATTTTCCATGCAGTTGTTAACTTTAAGGCATATGATGATTAAAAGCAAACTCATAAAGATGATGAGAGACTTTAGGTAAGTTCATGATGCTATATCAGGTATGGAGTTGGACAACTGCACTTTGGCTGGACAATTATCAATCGATTAGAGATCAGTGCTAGTTGCAGCCCCTGTTCTTAATGTCAAGATGGTCTCAGGTACATTTTTAAGAGACTTCAATTGATTTCCATCAATTCGCTCAATAGAAGACTGAACACCCAATTCATCGCCCCTACCCCGAGAGAGAGAGAGAGAGAGAGAGAGAGAGAGAGAGAGAGAGAGAGAGAGAGAGAGAGAGAGAGAGAGGGAGAGTGAGTGGTGCATACTAATTAAGTGAGAGTGCTAAGATTGTTGTCTAAACCCTGCCATTTTTAGAGGGAAATCAAAGGAGTGGCGGTAGCTTAAAAGCGTCCTCCTTAACCAAGAGCAACTTAAATTGATAAATGAAGCAGGCAACTAAAGAAACATTAAACAAACCACGAACCACCACACATGTCACCATTGACACTGAAAAAACATCTTCACAGTCGTACTCTAACCAGGGCTTCGAATCGAAGAAAACATCCTCTTTACTGCCTGCATTTGACAAAGATATATTGTTCCAGTTCAAGCATTGACAATATAAGAAAATTAAACCACACCTAGGAAAAACACAAAGCACGCATTCAGATTTAGGCATCAAGAGAAGCAAAGCACATTGACCCACTCAGCTCAAAGATCAAAACCAGTAATTACATGATAGTTTATTCCTTTAGTCAGCTAATTATAAAGACAACAAAGCAGAAAAACTAGTGCTGCAAACATCATCACCGCTCTCTAATAGAGCGGGGAGGCCAGATCTGGGGAGGCCGAGCGGCCTCGCCATGGCCGCCGGTCGACCTCGCGGTCGCCCAGGCCGAGCGGCCATGGCGGGGCCGCCGGTCGACCTCGCGGTCGCCCAGGTCTGGGCGACGGCGAGGCCGACCGCCGGCCTGGGCGAGGCCGAGCGTCCTCCCCAGACTGGGGAGGCCGAGCGGCCTCGCCCAGGCCGGCGGTCGGCCCAGCCGTCGCCCAGATCTGGGGAGGCCGCTCGACCTCGCCCAGGCCGACCGCCGGCCTGGGCGAGGCGGAAGCTGACCCCCTGATCACGGCGACTTCCAAATCCAGAAAAGAGAGCGAGCAAACGAGCGGAGGATCGGAGCTTACGTGGAGCAGGAGCGAGCGGCCCTGGCTTCCTCTCGGTCGGAGCGAGCGAACGAGCGGCCGGCTTCCTCTCGACGGCGACAGAGAGAGTTCAGAGAGAGACGGGCAGATCAGAGAGATGAGAGGAGACGAGAGACATGTTTTGAAGAGAACGACTTCCTCAGAAATGGTTCTGAGTTTTGTTCAAGAAACGAAAAACCAACTTTTTTTTGGTTCTGATTTCTGGTTTCAGAACCGGTTCTGGGACAAAACTAATAGGCACTCAACAGGAGGTTATGCAATTTATATGGGTCAAAATCTAATTTCTTGGTCAACCAAAAAGCAGCATACCATTGCACGTTCCTCAACCGAATCTGAGTATTAGGCATTGGCAAACGCCACGGCGGAAGTGGTACGGTTGCAATCACTATTACAAGATTTGGGCATCTCTCAATCAAAATCTCCTATCCTTTGGTGCGACAACCTAGGGGCAACACATCTTACGGTGAATCCACGTTTTTCATGCTCTAACAAAGCATATTAAGGTAGACTTTCACTTCGTCCGCCATTTAGTGTCACAACGCAAACTTGAGGTTCACTTCATATCTACACGTGACTAAATAGCGAATATCTTCACCAAGCCTCTTACAAGGTGTTGTCATGATATGCTCATATCCGAGTTGAAGATCATCAAGAAGACCACCTTGAACTTGTGGGGGCCTGTTAAGGATAACAATGCATGACTTGTTCAAACTCAAAATATTTTGAATTAGTCCATTCTTATCTCAATTAGTTATTACTATAGTTATTACTGTGGATGTAGTTATTACTCTAGTTACTATATTTTAAATTAGTCCATTCTTATCTCATGTAATTACTGTAATAGCTAGAAGACAAACTCTATAAATACAAACTCTATAAATACAAACGATATCCTAAAGTTGAAGGATAAGCGAAACTTAAGCTCAAACTTAGAGTATAATTCTTACATCCACGTATGAGGGGGATCGACACTTTCCCAAATTAGCAAGTAATAAGGAGAAAGCTTTCCTGCCATTAATCGAATTTCACTTTCTGTGAACAAGGGGTTGACTAAGACATTGTTTAACTAAGAAGCGAGGTAGTAATCGACATTGAAGAATTCTCGATGAGGATGTAACTAGTTTAAGAAAATGTTCATGCCCTCGTTAATGACACAGATGAATTCCTTTTCTGTACTAAAATAGATAAAGAGTTGCCATTTTCACATCTAAAATTGCTTGATCGTCCTTAATTCATGGCAACTCCTCTGACTAAATTGTTTAGCTCCGGTCGGCATACAACGCGTAGTTCAATTTGGCTCTGCTAATATATGCTTACAAAATCATCGATCTGAAAGATTACTCAGATGGTAATCAAAGCAAACTGATAAAGCTAAACCTCTCATCCAAACAATATATCGATTTCTCGTATTCCTAAAGACATTATTTCAAGGTCGATATGTTATTGTGCATTCGATAAATGGCAATCTTAATATCTAATAATCTGAGTTTCATTCTTCACAGACAAATATGTCAGCCCAATCAACAACTTTCCATCATTTCATTCAATTTCCAAATCTAAGACTACATGATTTCGTGAGCGAATTATCAATCTACACCTAAGTATCTGTTATTAAAATTGTACAGGTGGTTGATGAGTTTTGATTTTGTTTGGGAGATATCAAACTCAATTTTGTCAAATCAAAAGATTTAATGTTTTCATATAGTTCAGTTCGATCTATCGGTTTTTTCTACAACGCGCCTAGGTTTCGTACTTTTCTCACAATCAACCCCTAATGTTCTTGTATTTGGGGCAACAAGTTTCAATGTAATTGCACATGCTACCCCACCAGATTTTCAGGTGATACACAGTGATTGACTTTGTCCATGGAGTTATTCTATACGACGTGTTGAAACAAATCATGTCATTTTCAGGAGGGCAATCACAAAGTTCCTGATGCAGGTGGCCTTCACTAACACTTGGCTTTTTCCCTCAAAAGAACGCGGTTTCTCATACTTCAATTTCTTTTCAACGTTCATGCGCTCAGACAGCGCACTGAAAACAGCAATCAACATATAAAATATACATATATCCTTCACTCAGGGGCATTAAACTATCGAATATATAAATTCATTGTAGATCTAAGCCAAGCTGCATTGAGACTGGATCTTTCGGTATCCAAAACAGGTCACAGGAATGCAGCTTGTCTTTGCCTCTTTCGGATCTGCTAACATTGGAGTCTCCAAATAGGTTGACATTTTTGTTAAACCCTTTATTGTTCTTCCTGAGAGGCTCCCCAGAGCTAAATTTCAGGTGTTGCCAAAATCAGGAGCAGAGTCACTGAGAAATGAAATTTTACTAGCGAGTGTGGGCCGTTGCTAAGTATGGAAAGTCCAAGAAACAAGAAGAGAGGATACGAACATGGGGCTGGTGTTTTGGAAGATGACGCGATCATTGTCGGTGAATCGAAGAAGCGGAAATTACCCACTTTGGGAAGGTCTGTTCTGCACCACTTCTGAGTAATCTGATGTTTCTCCGATGATGGGTATTTGTTAGATTTCGATTTCTCATTCATTCCTGGTGATATCAAGTTAGTGACTTTAGCGGTACAGAGACTTGCATGAGCACTTGTGAGTTGTGGTGAGTATTGAGTAATATGGTCCCAAGTGATTTCAGTTACTTCTGATTAGTAATACTGACTCCTCAACTTGTTTGGAAGTGAGCTCCTTGTAATGAAATCCAGTTTCTAGTTTTTTAGTAGAAGATGATATGCAGAGTCCTATTAAAAAGGAGAAAAACGTAGAAATTGTGCCGGATCAATCTATAAGGTGAAAGCTGTTTGAGATACTTGAGAATGGCATTGGCATATGGTTGGGCAAACATTACAAGAAAGAGAGAGTGCCATTATGAACGCAGATCAATCAATTCGACAATATACTTCAACATATCGACATGCATGGTTGTGCCTCATGTGATGGTAGAACATTGCCTAGAAACACTGCCAAAATCTGTTAACCTGCATTTTGTTGGCAGAAGCCTTGAGGTTCAGGCTTGTCGAACGACCTTATTGTGTAGCTTAAAGAATATGTTCACTTTGAGGTGGAGGCAGTTTGAGATAATCGAGAGTATGGTTTGTGCAGCATTGTCGTGGAAGCCTTGAAGGTGGACAGTTTGCAAAGGTTTTGCTCATCGCTGGAGCCTCTACTGCGAAGAATTGTGAGTCATCACCTCTTCGTTTAGACAATAGACACATTGAGAAATGGTCTCTTTCATGATATGCGGGTTGTCTTGGCATGTCTTTCACATGCTCTAATGTTAAAAAATATTTGTCGTTTAATTGTACTAGTTCATTGAGCACGCCAGTTGTTAAAAAGGAGGTAAACATCACTCACTTCAGCATTTATTCTATCTCCTGGTTATAAAACAGGTGAGCGAAGAAGTAGAGAGGGCATTGACGAGGTTAGGCCATGCTAGGCTGGCTGAAAGGTATGTCGCTAAGTTAAATGACCCCAGTTACAAACACTGGCATGTGGTAGTAACTAAACAAACAGAAACAGAGATATCCATGCTCACATAGAGAACTAATCGTGCATGTGCTCAGCATAATGCAAGTAGAGTTCGTGATGGGATGAAATAATGACCAGTTATACTCGCATTGCAGAAAGGAGCATCCTGAATATGTTAATTACTATCCTTTGAAAGATTATGTTAAATCAGAGTGCTTGTGAATGCTGCAACTACTCTCTACTGCTGGAAGAGCGCAGTAGCAGAAGCATCAGACGAAATGCAACTTGTTTTTTGGGGGTATGCGAGGAGGAAGGCTTTGCTTGATGGCATAGAAGTTGTTTTCTTCTGCTTAGATCCCATAAAAAGGCTTAGCGTGCTCCATCACAAGCAATTCTTCTAACTGCTGTCAAAATGTTTCTGTGAAATTCTGTAACGCAATTTACTCAAGTTAATGTGCAATTCTGGTTTGCATAAAACTTCAATCTCCATGATTAAAATCAATTCTCTAACATCCAACATCATGTTGAAATTAGATACCAGATGTGGAAAACATTGAAACTGTAGATGACAACCCAATGAGCAAACTTCTCAGCTATGGTCGTTTTATTACAGTATGGACTCACAGATTTCCCTTTACAGGTCAGCCCCACCTAGAATACAAAATCCAGAAGTGAAAGGTATGCAGCTTCAATTTAAGACCAGAATGCCGCCCCACCTATTCACTGGTGGGAGGATCGAGGGCGAACAGGGTGCAGCTATTCATGTCGTGTTGATAGACCGAGCCACTGGCCTTGTGGTGCAAGAGGGGTCTTCATCGAATGCCAAGCTAAATGTCGTGGTGCTCGAAGGAGACTTCAATGACGAACCTGAAGGTGATTGGAGCGAGGAGCACTTTGAGAGTCTCGAAGTGAAGGAGCGGGAGGGCAAAAGGCCGCTTCTCATGGGGGATCTCCAGGTTATACTGAAGGAAGGGGTTGGAACTCTTGGGGAACTTAGTTTCACTGATAATTCCAGCTGGACAAGGAGCAGAAAGTTCAGGCTCGGTGTGAAGGTTGCTGCCGGATCTTGTGAAGGGGTCCGTGTTCATGAGGCTAAAACCGAGGCATTTGCTGTTAAAGATCATAGGGGAGAATGTGAGTTCATAGCTGATTTTTCTCTAGACCATGCACTTCACAAGTTCAGATAGAGATGCTACAGCTGCAAAATTCCTGCAGTCCTAGTGAGAAACTTCTTAGATAACAAGTTACAGTTTATAGTCACTTGGATGATCTGCCTCCCTTTGAATTAATGATAAGATCATTAAGTCTAGTGGAAAAACATAAGGATCTTAAATTAGTAAGACAAGAATCGTAGACAAGTGTGATGATCCACTTGATGGTCCTTTCCGTTCTGCTGTCGTTATTGCCCACTGATGCAGGTTCAGATTTAGTTACAATGACATGGATTGCATTTTTCAGTGTATAAAAAACATTACCCACCCGCTTTGCATGACGAGGTGTGGAGATTGGACAGAATAGCAAAGGATGGAGCTCTGCATAAGAAGCTAATTAATGCTGAAATCGTAACAGTCGAAGATTTTCTACGGCTTCTTGTCGGGGACCCTCAGAAATTAAGAAAAGTAAGGACTTCCTTAGTATGTTAATTGGTATTTCTTTGATCTTTTCTTTGATCTGCTTACACTATGACTATTCTGTGTGTGTACTGATAATCACGACAAAACTATAGATCCTAGGGAGCGGAATGTCAAACAGAATGTGGGAGAATACAGTCGAGCATGCGAAGACGTGCGTCATGGGTGGGAAGGTGTACATATACTACACTGACGCGAATCATAATACTGGCGTGGTCTTCAACGATATATATGAGCTCAGAGGCTTTCTTACTGATGGGCAGTTCTTCTCTCTGGAAAATCTGACCCACAAGCAAAAGGTTAGTTCTTCTCTGCTATTGAAAAGTTTTGCTCGAGTAATCGATTTTTTTTTATTTTCTTGAAATGTTGTTCCCCCCACTTCCATCACACGTGTGCTGAGAAGGTTTTAGTCAACTTAATGATCATGACAAAGAATCCTTTTTTTATATGCAACTCATCTTTTCCTTGTTTCTGTCTACAGATCTCAGTAGATTCCTTGGTGAAGAGAGCCTATGAGAACTGGAACGAAGTTGTAGAATATGACAGCAAAGTTCTAAGCTCCATCTCCGGTACAAGGAAAGGAACAACATCCTCAGTTTTCCCGGAGGCTGTAACCGAGAATGCTAGTGTGCGAGATCAGCACTACACATCGACTACACAATACTCGCAGCAACACACATCACGATGTGAACAAAGAGACCCGCAGTGCCAAGTTCAGAATATCTGCCCACCGGTTTCTCCGCTCATGGAACTTCCAGTTGTTAGACTTCATCAAACTGCAACTCAAGTTCTAGATGCTCCACAAGTAGCATTTCCCAGTGTTGGTACAGATTTCTTGTCCGCCGCAACTCCGGGGATTGGGGGGACTAATTATTCCGGAGACTTGTTTGCGGAGGAAATTCGGCTCAGGAGCACAGAGATGCTGCAGGGTGATGATATGCAGAGACTGCTGAGGTCATTCGGTACAGGACCCAGCTTCCACTATTCGAATAAGGATAGTTTCACTTATCCGTATGACAGTAGGACGGATTGCCAGCTCCGGCAGACATGCAGCCAGCGCACGGGCAAGGCCGTCGTCGGCTGGCTTAAGCTGAAGGCTGCATTGAGATGGGGCATATTCATTAGGAAGAAAGCTGCAGAGAGAAGAGCTCAGCTTGTAGAGCTTGATGACTCCTAGACCCTCTTTCTTTGTTTCTGTCTTTTTCTTTCTCTGCCTCTCCCCGTTACCCTCTGTTGGATACTCGAGCACTTTTAAAATGGCGATATCTTTGGTTGACATTATAATGGCGATATCTTAGCATAATAAAGCAGCATGAACGCTCTTTAACTTCTCCTTTTTCCGGCTTTTTTTTTTTTGTGCTTTTACTTTCACTGGCAATTTGGCATTTCAAAGTCAAGAAACAGTTTTGCGCCATAAAAAGAATTGAGAAGCATAGTAGATATCCGAGCGGTCAAATTTTAAGCAGTTGATCAGATTCTCAGCTAGCATATTGCGATTTTTTCAGTAGGCTCTATGAGGACTTGGAAATTGTCAAGTTATCAAATGAAAAAAGACTATAAATGATATTAAAAACCAATCCACATGACCGACCCTGATTAAGCAAAAATATGACTCAATGCCGAATTAAACTTCCATTATGTACATTGTCTCGATCTATCAGCAAAGAAATGTAAAGGAGAATGATCATTTGGAAACAGAACATTGCAAATTTCTCGCGCCATCATTATCGGTATGAACAACGCAGAGATCAAACAATATGAACGAAGCAGAACTGCGATTAGCAGAACTTATAACAGACATCTAGACAATGAAGACTCAGAAGAAAAAAACTATACTCAGGAGAAAAAAAAAAAAGAACTAAATTACAGCACGATGCGAGCTCTTCAGAAAACTAGCAGCGGAGAATTCTTATATGCATGACCCAAGTGGATAGGGGTCAAATCCCAAATCCGCATCTATCAGCGGCGTTCCATTATGTTCCTGCATAAAGACACAAAATTCCAATTCCAGAAAACCGAAAAATTTGCAGAAACCTTCCATTCAAGTAGTCAAAAAGCGAGGGAAAGCGGAAGAGAGGAGAAAGAAACATGACGAGTCCCTAGTATATCAAACTTGCAAGGTAATAAAACTATGTATACCAAGATTAGGTAATTACATATAAGGTGAAGATACTCCGTTTTGTCAAGTTCTGTTTATCAGGAAATATGTGAGTCCCAATTAAAAGAGCAATTATCACAGACCCAAAGTGCACAGATCTCCCTATTTTTCATTTATGAAAATCGTAGACTAGTTGCTAGTTATGACTCATTAGGGCCAAGGTTGAGCAAATGGATATAGAATCAAACATGGTACCAGCGTCAACAATGACCTTCAGTCAACAATGACCTTCAGATGCTCTCAGAAGACGTGATGAGTTATGTTCTACTACCAAGATGTAACTAACACTCAGCAAAGCCAATAAGTGCGAAATTCAATCCAAGTATTCAACAGCACATCAGTAAACCAGAGCTATGTACTTCTCATCAGAAAAAAAAAGATCTAAACAGAGAGACTGTCACTGCCCAAGAGGTGCATTTGACTGATGAAGCTGTCTAGCTGTTTGGCCAAAGAGAATATCACAAGCTACAAGTGTATGCCTAAAGCCCAACATGACAAATGTAATAACAATCATGGTAATAAGCTGAAAAGATTCTTAATTAATAATGCATCTTACAATGTGATACTTACACGCTTGATGGCATTCATTAGCTCATCCAAGGACTCGTAACTAGTTTCAAAGATACAATCCTGCACCTTCATTTGCTCAAAGGAGTTGTTTTCACCAGATGTTATGATTGAGTCCATAGAAGATATATCAACTTCGGCATGGCAAACGGCAGACGGAGCTCCTGAATTTAGTAGGCTAGGCAGAGAAACTTCAGCATTTGGACCGCAGTGTGCATTAGTTTGCCCCATAATATGGCTGACAGAACCAGCAGAACCACTAGCAGGAACTAGACAGCTCACTCCGCTGTTTTGACTCAGACTTTGTTTGTAATTCTGGGATTGTTCTTCCCATCTTTGGACTTGTCCAAAATTCACATTCTGAACAGTATTAACCAACCCCGCATCACACTGAATGTCACCTCTATATTCATCCATATTTCCCAACATTGCGCCAGTTGATGAGAAGTCAATCCGGCCTTCACGAAATTGCGGGCTGGCCGACAAAGTACCCATTGACCTTTGATCAAGATTCATTGTTCCCGTCAGTGGCGGAGGATTTGAAGAAGGAAAACTAGACAACTGCATGGAAGCATGCCACGTATCATTTGACCTACTTTTATCAACAAAACTGGGTCCGGATACAAAATCTCCAATGTCTTGGGTTTGTACTTGATTCCCCTGCAAGAATACCTGAATGCTTCTTGGAGTGTATAGAGAATTGCTCGAGACACCAGTCACCGCTTGGGTATCTGAGAGGTTAGTTGCAACACTAGCATTCGTTCTTTCGATATTGAACTCTCCTACATGGGCCTTTACATTTGCCTGCTGCAACTGGTTAAGCTCCAAACATGTCGGAGTTCTTTGAAATGGATTGTCAGTTCGAGCCCCCACAGCATTGACCGAGCTTCTAAATTTTTGCATATGGTCTGTCCGATACACTCCGGAGGATGTGATCCCCCGCAACCCTAAACTAGCTGGTGTGCTTAGCCTACCTAGCATCCCGCCTGCATGATAAGAGGATAGAGATGTGCTAGAAAGCCTTCCTGATCCAGCTAATGCATGAAAATCTCCAAATGCTGCCTGGCTTACCCCGTTGTTACTGAATTTTTTCAGGTAAAGCCGATATTTCTGTATCAAAGCAACAGCATCAGACCATAGATTGTTTCGTTTATACATTATGTACCCTAGAAGACCCTATAAGTCATGAAAAGGGGCCTAGCTCATAGCAGTAGTCATTATAGAAGAATCTCCGTGTGTACTAAGCAAAGATTCCTAGCATATTTGGAGATGGACGACCAGCCTTCCATTTAAAGCATCAATTAGGAAATAAAATGATGCCTCCACATAACCTACGTTATAAAATAATAGTCCCGTCATAGGAAATGAAAGATGATACAGGGTCGAGAGAATCTGTGATATACTGTCGGATGGTTGAAAGAATGAATAGCTATATAAAAGCATTCTCAAGGACCCCACAGCGTCTCAATCAAGAAAATAGTAATGAAAAATCCTTTATAGTGACAAAGAAAATACATAAGAGGGCAAAGAGCAGGGGCTTGACCTGTAGGTGACTGGCCACATTTTCCCTTGTAATGCCTTCAACATTCATCAAGTCCAGGATTTTCTTAGGGACAGCCTCTGCATCGACATTAACAACAAATGGTGGTTCACTCAAAGGAGAAGATTTCTGCAAGAATTAGTATAAATAAGAATGAACAACCAAACTACGTCGCAATCACGAAGAACTCACTCTCATAGCCTAATTGTTTAACAGCCGAAACAAACTTGCGATGCAGATCAACAGACCAAACGACTCGAGGCTTTTTTTGGGTCGACTGGTCATCGTTCTCGTGTCCGTTCTCTTCACTGTCTTCTTCCTCGTCTTCTGTCTGGTCCTTCCTTTTCTTGTTAGGCTTTCCATTCGGATCAACATTACTCGGTGATACAGGTCCATGCTCTCCATCCCCAGATCCATCCGAAGACTTGACTACATTGGCAAATTTGCTTCTTTCCTTTGGTTCTAACTTTTTTCTCCTCACTAAGTGTTGCCATATGTTCTTGAGCTCCTCCATTCTGGCGGGTTTCAACAAATAGTCACAAGCGCCATGAGTGATCCCCTTCATCACAAGTTCAGTATCACCATGCCCAGACAACACTGCAAACAATCAAAATGGACAAAAATTACATCGAGACCAACGAAGATATCTCGAGGAAAGAGACAATAAATAGAATTCATAAGAAACAGGGGATTTCGGCTTACTGATGACAGGCAGATCCATTTCAAGACCCACAAGCTCTAGAAGCTTAAAGCCATCCATGTCAGGCATGTTCACATCGCTAATCACCAGGTCAAACTTGTTCCTTTTATCCCTTAGCATTTTCAGTGCCACGATTGCCTCATTGGTCGTAGTAACTACAAAAGATCAAAGAATTAAACAAGAACGAGATGCAACTGAGATAAAACTTGAGATCCATTTCAAATTAAAGACCAGAACATCACAACTTGCAAACATCATTTCAATGAATGAATTCCCCAAAACATATCCTTAAAGGCAGATAAACAATATCCAACGCCCCAAAACTGCCTAGCAATTCTAAATTAAAGCCAAAATCCAAAACTCTGTACCACAATTTCACTGATCTAACGCTATTCTACGACACAAAGAATTAACACTAAAAATTTACCAACGCTCGCAAGAAAGCAAGTAAGCCGCCAGTGTGATAGGCCCAGACACACGCGACAAACCCAAAAATCACCAACACAAACAGACATCCTCAAATACACTAGAAAGGCGCATAAACAAGGGTGTCAGACATATCAATTGCAGTCAAAAAATTAAAGACACTAATCCAACCTTGATATCTGCACTTCCGAAGCATGGCCTCCAACACTTTGAGGCAAGACGCATCATCATCAACGGCCAGAACTCGCATACCGACCGGAAACGGGTCCTTCCCGTCTTCGTTTGCGGAACCACTCTTCTTGTCCTCAACAGCCATTGCCTCTCTCGCAATTTAAGGACGCCCAGAAGACGAAAAGAAAAAACACACCCACCAAGAACAGAGCCACAAATTTCAAACTTTGAGTGTGAAAACTCAAAACCCGGTTCTTGAAAGCGAGAAAGAACCGATAAAACAGAGATCTTTTTCTTGTGTTCTAGTGAAGCCAGCCTTTTCAAAGCTTTTTAGCTTCTCTCGTATTATAAAATCCCTCGAAAGCCTTTGCCCTTTTTATAATGCTTTTCCCTCTCGCAGCTCAATTCGATTCTTTTATGGTAATCACACACTTTCCCTCATTGGGTTTCAGTGTGGAGGGACTTTTTCAAGAAACAGAGTGTCTGGCTTTTCAACGTTTCTCTGTTTTTCTTGCCTAATCAGACCCTTTTTCAATACTTTGCCATCTGGGATTCATCCATCTCGACCGTCCATTTCCCCCGTGGATTTCTGACTTGGTGAGCTAATCATGGTCTCTTCCTTGCCTTGGTAAAATTGATTAACATACTTCCAATGTAAGCACGCTTTATTCTGTATCCTACTTTGTCAAAGTTACCTTTCTCATGACAAAAGCTAAAAAGAAAAAGTCACCTTTTTATGGAATTTATGGTTCATACCAATAAAGAAGAAGTTACCTTTTTATGGGTTCGTGGCATTTTTTTGAATTCTTGGATGGATTCCTCAGAATTAATAAATCCAGTTCATCATACTTACCTACTATGATATATATGATGTGAAGGAAGAAGACCACTTTTAGGGAGAATGAGCCCTTCTATATTCTCAAATATGACCTTGGTTAAACAAATTTTAAGTATGACAAAACCCAAACTTTACAACTCAATTTAAACTTCTAATCCAATCCATCCTTCATGAATCTTAGCAAAGCTTAATTGTGTTATGGATATCTCTGAGAAATTCGCGTTTAGATATTCTATTGCTATATTTCGCGAAATCCATGTCTGTTGTTTTAACGCACTCGTGCTGGTGTATGTAAATGCTCTTCGGATTTTGTGCGATGGCAAAATCTATTTCCACTTACGATTTGCGAAACATGTAGATCTAAAAGCTGACAATCCATTCCTAACTTATACAGGTGCACACATCACATGATCAGAGTTATTCGAGTAAATACCGAATACTTCTATTCGCATCATATGTTCCGGCAATGCTAAATTCCATTAAAATAAATTAGCGATGTACGGCTCTTTCAAATATTTTGGCGAACGCTACAATTCACTTATCCACGTGCCCTGAATAGTAAAGATCGACCTAGTTTATACTTGAATTTGGTATTCCGTGAAAACTTAAACGCTTGTCTCGAATGTTTATATCGAGTCTTGTATAATGCGGTTTTATCGACTTGTGTCAATTTTGATCCGCTTCCGTTTCTTTATAAATAGAAAAAAGAATTTAAATCTCACCATAATGCTTATCAAACCGCAAATTTGTGCCTCATTTAGCATTATTTCCTTAAGTTGAATGGATAATTTATGCTGTAAATCTCTATTTTTCCGCTCATGGTCGCTTTTGTTTCTGTTTTTTTTTTCTTTATCTGTCTCCCTCTCCTTCACCTAAGGCTTCACGGTACGTCTTCATTATCTTGACCAAGAAAAGTCAGAAAAACGTACGGCGCGGAGACCGCAGAAGCAGCAGGAATGATGAACTGTTGGCCCCCATCGTACGGCTCAAAAGAGACAGACAAATTTTTTTTGGCCCTTTTGGCTGTCATTGTCAAAGGGTTTAATTATTTTGTTATCATAAGTTTCTAGTTTAGACATTATCGATCCAGAATCTGGCAATTATTTTGGCCATAAATGCTAATGATATTCCAATCTGGCAATTTTTCATTGAGAAAAGATTTAATCCTTCCAGGCCGCCAAAATTTAGTCATCTTTTCTAAGAATGGCCCGTGATTTTTGGGTCATTAATTAATCTTCGAATTTGGAGGACCATATTGCCCAAATTTATCCTGCACAGCTGGAACAAATTGATTTTAAATTTTTTTATTTTTATTTTTGTCGAATGGTGTATTTTTTGGTGATTGACTAAATTAAGAAAAATAATAATTATGGTGGGGAAATTACAGACTGCATTGCTTTATTTGGAATTTAAGGGGAAAAAGGGTTTATCTGGGTAAAATAGTTAATGTTTTTTAACGACCCTATTTATTGTATTCAGCGTGGAACAAACCAAAAATGGTCCTTTCTTTATTAGCAAATGAACCGAAGATGTTCGCATCATCTACGTCTTCCTAAACTTCTCATCGAAGATTTTATGAAAGGAAAACGTTCTTTCATTATTATTTCACATTGGGAGAATTCGTAATATGGAATTTGTGCGATGAAACATCAACATACAACGTATTTTGTCGACATTCTTTTTCTTCTAAATGTTCTTGTATGAGAGAACGCTGGACATGACCTGCTTGGATGACATTTATATAATATTAAGGTAAAACCCGAATTATATATGATATCACATGATATGGTTAACTTTATATATCAACATAAAATAAGATGGGTTTCCTCGTAATCCTGTTTTTTGGCACGTAGAAGCGGAATGAAGATATTCTAGGCCAACGTGAAATTGCAAGCACGATCATGACACGTCAACATGAATTGTCAAAGCTATTTAGAGCCACATCGAACCATTCCTAAATAACGGTTTCAATGTATATAGGCCAAGGAAAAGGGAATTCTACCCTGCAGAATAAAATTATAATAACATCATCTTCAATGTGGAATAGAGAGTAGAGTGCTATTAATCTTTTTTCAGTTGAAACTCAATGTACACAAGCCAGCTTAACATTTCAAATTGATTCGGAGCTTAGTCTACACGCAAGGAACACACACATTAAATGGAGTTATAAAGGCACGAAGGGTTATTTGCAAGTTTGCAAAAATTTGAAGCCTATGTTTGCAATGGTTTAAGGGGAAACATATATTTGCCATAAAGTCCACGGATTCGGGGTATTTGCATTAAATGAGATTGAAAGTCATGAGGACAAATGAAAATGTGGACGATGATATTTGCCTAAATCGACAAAGGTTTAGAGAGTCAAATTTGAGGATGGAGGGTGTCTAGGTTAAGAGCCTTAGCAATTACAATCAAAACTTTCAACACAAACTTACACGGGACCAAGCAATTGCCCACGAAAACTCAACGATTAATCGAGCTGTAAGAACGGCCGGGATTTTGCATCTTGCATCTCAAGAAACGCAAGGTCATCTCAAGTTCGGTTCTTACTACCATTGGGGTTAGGCCATAGGAAATAAAAGATAAAATTACCAAAAAAGTCCTAAACTTATTGCAATTATGCCAATTCACGCATAAAGTTTTTTTTATGTCAATTTAATCCTAAACCTTTTGTATTTGTGCTAATTCAATCCATTCGGGTGGTTGGTGTTGACGTGGATGTCGGCCAGCGCCGGTCATTCAGTAGGCGCTGACATGACAATTTTTAAATACCTTTTTGATTTTTTTATTAATTTTTAACATCACAGTAGCCGCCGAGCTCTGTCGGCTGCCAACGAGGGTTGAGGCCCTCGTCATGGCCTTGTTGGCCGCGGGCAAAGTTGGCCTCTCTTGCGGTTGGCGTGGCCATGACGAGGGCCTCAACCCTTGTTGGCAGCCGACAAGGCTCGCCGGCCACTGTGTGGCCTCTCTTGTGGCTGGCGAGGTCATGGCCGCCTTTGCTCGTGGCTGGCAAGGCCCTGGTGATACGGGTGAAGGTGGCCATGGCCTCGTCCAAATCTGGGCAAGGGCTATGATCCTTGCCAGCGGCCAGCAAGGGCTTTGCGGCCCTCACCGGCCACTAAGGGAAAAAAAAAAAAGAAGAAGGAAGAAAAGGACAAAGAAAAAGAAAAGAAAATTAATAAAAAAGTAAAAAATTATCACGTCAGCGTCGGCCAGACTGTCGATCCATGTCAGCGGTTGTCGGTTAAAATTGGCCGAATGAACTGAATTGATACAAATACAAAATATTTAGGACTTAATTGATAAAAAAAAATATTTAAAACTAAATTGACATAATTATAATATGTTTATGACTTTTTTGATAATTTTTCCGAAAATAAAGTAATTCCTTGCCAACCTCCGGTTCTCACGTGGGATGGTCAGCCTTCGAGGAGAAGATGTGGGGGCCCTAAGAAGGGGGTCCTTTGGATACTCGGACCCACTCGAGTCGAGGACGCTTCAGTCCTGTAGGTCATCATCTGGCCTCAGCCAAAGATTTCTTCATTCATATATCCTGCAGAAAAAACACACACACACACAGCCCATTTCACGAACGAGACAACATCACACGATCGAAGCCCAAATATTCGCGCACAATCTTCGGACACATTGATGTAATGTAGGGATCCACGCTTGAAACAAGTGGAAGACAAAAAGATAATGGGCAAGTAATCAAGAACCGCATGATTGAAATCTTTGGCTGATTATTCGATGATTTGTGTAGGCTTAACCACTGACTAATCCCGCTGAAGTTCAACGGGTTCTGATTACATTATTCTGTCGTACCAACTGTCTTGTCCGGATTATGATAATCTCCAGGAAGTGGAAACAAAGCAAAAGCAGCCCAGAGAAGAAGAAAAGAAACCCTCATCATCATTCCAAGTTTCGTGGAAAGTTGCTGGTCTACGAGTCAAGGATCGACCTAACCACATTCCAATGGCTTCCAAGGATCCATCCATGGAGAAAGTAGGACTTTCTCAACCGGGATTCGTCATGATTTTCTTGGTTATGTGAACATTGCGTTTCGTTACAGGAAAGTGACATAAATGGTTTCCTGAACTTTAGTCCAATGTGTAATGTCGTCCTTGAATTTTTAAATTGTTTAATGTGGCCTTTCAACTTTCGGTACATGTTCAATTTAGTCTCCGCACTATGTGAAAATATTCGATGTTGTCCCTGAACTTGAATAACTGGAAGTGCAATATTGAACATTTTCATATGATTTAAGGACTAAATTGCACATGTATCAAAAGTTCAAGGATTACATTGAACGTTAGGATATAGTTCAGTGATCATATTAAATAATTTAAAAGTTCAGAAACCACATTGCATGTTAGGCCAAAGTTTAGAGATCATTTTATGTCATTTATCCCTTTCACGAGTGATGCGTGTTAAGTGATTATGTGAATTTTGTCGTCCCGATGTACTTGGTCTTCCCATAGTCTATGTATTGTATTATACTGCATGGTGCTTTTAGACTTGAGTGGAATATGCACAAACACTTTTAGGGGATCATGGACTCGACGGGCTGATCGGACCTGCAAAGCCCTGAACTACAAACATAAGCCCAAGAAGAGCAGTTGGAAAAATTGTCCCCCATTTGGTGTCCATATACTTTTGAAT